AAGTATGATTAAGGAAAGTTGACGAGGTGGAGAATGGTTTGTTATATAGGTAGAAGGAGACATGAAAAATTATTGGGAAAACTATTGAGTAATTTAGAGGTATGATCTATCTTTTGATTTGTTGTAATATTAGTATTATTATTATTAGAATATGTTGAATATCATACAGCTCATTATGAGCTGCTATCCTATACAACTTATTATGAATAATTAGCATTTATAGGAGAATAATTACACCCTTATTTAGATAGATGTATAGTCTATAAATACCTCTTATGTATTCTTTACAAGATATATAAAATATTTCCATATTTCTACATGGTATCAGAGCTCCCGATTCTAGGGGCTCTGCTTCCGCGCTCAAAACACTAGCCGTTCTTATTACGGTCCTTTTTTTTTCAAGGTTCCCTTTCTCTTGGAACCCTAGTGATCTTGGTGACTTTGCAGCCATCGTGCACCGCTCAACCACCGTTGCAGATCCGGACGTTTTCACCTTCATCTTTTTTTTAGGACAGCCTTTATTGCCGTACCTCTATTTACTTGCTGTTTGCAGCCCTTGATTGTTCGGTTGTCATCGTTGTTGGTGTTTCTAATTGGCAGCCCTTCGATCCTCTCCTAACAGTAGATCTCGATCCTCTCCTGGTTCGAGACGGTTTGTTTCTCTCTATGGACTCCTTGAGTAAGTTCTCTAACACTAGTTCTCTGACCATGATGGGTAAGAATTCTAGCTCCTTAGCTTTTAATGCCTCTTGTTCTAAAGATATCTGGATTATTGACTCTGGTGCAACTGATCACATGACTCCATATATGTCATATCTCTCTTCTTATTCACCTTTACCTAATAAAAGCCATATTACCGTTGCAAATGGGTCTCAAACCCCGATTGTCGGATCTGGTAACATCCACCTAAGCCCATCTCTCCACCTAAATGATGTGCTTCATGTCCCTAAGCTTTCTAACAATCTTTTGTCCATCCATAAACTCACTAAAGACTTGAACTGTGTAGTAACCTTTTTTCATTCTCATTGTGTTTTTCAGGATCTTGCCACAGGTAAGACGATTGGAATTGCTGAGGAACAGAACGGGTTATATTGTCTGCCTCATAAGGAAAGTAAGTGTCATCAGGCTGGTTCAGAGTCATGGGCAAATGCTCAAATATGGCTCCAACACAGGCGTCTTGGACATCCTCCTTTCCAGATGCTCAGGTCTCTATTCCCTCACTTATTTACCAAAGTGTCTGTTGATTCCTTTCATTGTGATGTGTGTCAGTTTGCCAAATCTCATCGAGCAACCTATTCCCCTAGTAATACTAGGAGTGTCGAACCCTTTGATCTTGTTCATTCTGATGTATGGGGGCCTTCATCCATTTCCAATATTTCTGGGGCAAAATGGTATGTTACCTTTATTGATGATTGTACTCGGGTTACATGGGTTTTTCTTATGAAAGATAAGTCTGAAGTGTGTCAATTGTTTGTTAACTTTTTTCAAATGGTCAAAACACAGTTTGGAAAACCTATTAAACGGTTACGGTCAGACAATGGTAAGGAGTATGTAAACCAAAATTTTTACAATTTTCTCAAAACTAATGGTGTTGTTCATGAGTTGACTTGTGTTAACACTCCACAACAAAATGGGGTTGCTGAAAGAAAAAATCGTCATCTTCTTGAAATCACCCGAGCATTACGCTTTCAAATGAATGTTCCTAAATTTTATTGGGGGGAAGCTGTCTTGACCTCTGCTTATTTAATCAATAGGTTACCTTCTAGGGTGTTATCTGGTGTTAGTCCTGTGCAGGTCCTGACTCAATTCTTTCCGTCTGTGCCCATCTTGTCAAGTCTTCAGAATCGTGTCTTTGGTTGTTCTGCCTTTGTCCATGTTCATGGCCCTCATCGAGGTAAGTTAGATCCTCGAGCTATTAAATGTATTTTCATAGGATATGCTTCAGATAAGAAGGGGTACAAGTGTTATCATCCTCCTAGTCGTCGTGTCTATATATCCATGGATGTTACTTTTCAGGAATCAGAGTCTTTTTATCCCAATCCTCAGCTTCAGGGGGAGAATAATCAAGAAGCTGAGTCTTCAGAGTTGTCTATTCTTCCTGTTATTCCTCTAATACAGGACCCAGAGTCGTCTCCTGAATTGTCTGTTCTTCCTGTTATTCCTGTAATACAAGAGCCTTTGATGCCTAATGAGGATGGTGGTGATGTATCAATACCGGTGCATAATAATGATGAGGATGGTGGTGATGTACCAATACCGGTGCATAATAACGTTGACAGATACAAGTTACAGTTCCAGCGAAAAAGGTGGAAAGGTAAACCCGTTCTGCCCCAACAAGTCCAATCGTCTGAACCTGAGGTAAGTGTTCCTAACCCTGAGCCTAGTAATTCTTGTGAGCTGAACCTTGATGACCTACCTATTGCTTTGAGAAAAGAAAAAAGGTCTTGTACTAAATACCCTATATCCCAGTTTGTGTCTACTGAAAAACTTTCTGTGCAGCATCAGAGTTTTATTTCAGCTATTGACTCTATTAGAGTCCCTACATCAGTACAAGAAGCATTAAAGGATAAGAACTGGATTCAAGCCATGAATGAAGAGATGCAGGCACTAGAGAAAAATGGGACTTGGGAGATTATTGAGAAGACAAATGACAAGAGGCCAGTAGGTTGCAGATGGATATATACGGTAAAATATCGATCCGACGGCACACTGGACAGATATAAGGCGAGGCTAGTAGCAAAGGGATACACCCAGACCTATGGAATTGATTATGAAGAGACATTTGCTCCAGTAGCAAAAATGAACACTGTAAGAATCATTCTTTCCTTGGCAGCTCACTTTGATTGGGAGTTGCAACAGTTTGATGTGAAAAATGCTTTCTTGCATGGAGATTTGAAGGAAGAGGTGTATATGGAGATCCCACCTGGATATGACCCTACTTTAGGAAGTAATAAGATTTGCAGATTAAAGAAGGCCATATATGGGCTCAAGCAATCACCTCGAGCTTGGTTTGGAAGGCTCACTCATGTTATGGTGTCCTTGGGTTATAAACAAAGCCAAGGTGATCATACTCTCTTTATAAAGCATTCTCAAAATGGTAAAATCACTCTTTTGTTAGTCTACGTAGATGATATGATCATAGCAGGTAATGATGAATTTGAGAAGATGAACTTGAGGAAGAAGTTAGCAGCTCAGTTTGAAATGAAGGACCTTGGAAAGTTGAAATATTTCCTAGGTATGGAAGTAGCATACTCAAAACAAGGCATTTTCATTTCTCAGAGAAAATATGTCCTTGACCTTCTCAAAGAGACTGGCAAGTTGGGTTGTAAACCCAGCAGAGTGCCTATAGAGCAAAACCACAGGATTGGGAGTGATGAGGAAAGTCCAAGGGTTGATAAAGCTCAATACCAGAGACTTGTGGGAAAGCTCATTTATCTATCTCACACCAGGCCTGACATAGCTTATCCGGTTAGTGTTGTCAGTCAATTCATGCATGATCCAGAGGAGAGGCACTTACAGGCTGTGGATAGAATCCTGCAGTATTTAAAGATGAGCCCAGGAAGAGGTCTATTGTTCAAGAAAAGTGAGCAGTTGTCTATGGAGGTCTATACTGATGCAGATTATGCAGGGTCGATTGTTGACAGGAGATCCACCACTGGATATTGTATGTTCTTAGGTGGAAACTTAGTGACATGGAGGAGCAAGAAACAAAATGTAGTTGCCAGATCAAGTGCAGAGGCAGAGTTTAGAGCCATGGCTCAAGGAGTTTGTGAATTGTTGTGGATGAAGATTATTCTAGATGACTTGAAAATAAAATATGAAGCTCCTATGAGACTTTTCTGTGATAATAAGTCTGCTATTAGTATTGCTCACAATCCGGTCCAACACGACAGAACAAAGCATATAGAGATAGACCGACACTTCATCAAAGAGAAATTGGACAGTGGTCTTATTTCTACACAGTACGTCCCATCAGGACTCCAGTTAGCTGATGTGCTCACCAAAGGACTCCCCTTAGAGCGGTTTCGAGATCTTACTTGCAAGCTGGGGATGATAGATATCCATTCCTCAGCTTGAGGGGGAGTGTTGTAATATTAGTATTATTATTATTAGAATATGTTGAATATCATACAGCTCATTATGAGCTGCTATCCTATACAACTTATTATGAATAATTAGCATTTATAGGAGAATAATTACACCCTTATTTAGATAGATGTATAGTCTATAAATACCTCTTATGTATTCTTTACAAGATATATAAAATATTTCCATATTTCTACATGATTAATAAATGATAGAGCATTGTGATGTTGTATATTCCATGTACTCCTAATGGGAAAATACTTGATCTTTGTTGTTTTCCGATAGGAATCTAGCTAAGGGAAATGAAGAATGGCTAGAAACATTTGAATCTAAAAAAACAGCCTCTAAATGACCACCTCCATTCTGTTTTACCCTCTATCTAACTTACTTGGTAACTAATTCCAAATTCTCATTACCAACCCTTCCCTTATCTCCTTCCCATGCCATTTCTCTCCTGATTGATATTTTAGCATAACCACATGTTCTTTCTTTCTGTTTTTTTGTTTGTTTTGTTTTTGTGGATTAATGTTGTTGGGTGTTTTAACCACATACCTGCTGGTTCGAGAGGCAACACTTACCCCTCTGGTGATTTTGTCGAAATCCACAAATTTTCAGATAATGCGCTAGTAACTTGAAATGATATCATAGTTCATCTTTGTTCTGTTATTCTACGGCTCTATTAATTTACATAAATTTCATTAGTGATAAATCTGAAATGCACTGTATTTAATCCCTATAATGTCTTGCAGCCTACACAGTAGATTTTTCAACGAATCACTAATATTTATTACTTTGATATCAAAACATTGAAGATTACTTTTGCCAGCAGGCAATATCTTAAAGATGAAATTCATTTAACGCAAGTGTTATGTGGAAAAAATCTACTGAGTTTTCTGAAATTGTGTGCTTTACAGAAGGTGAAGATGCATCCTGCCATGCATGAGGATCCTGTTGCTCTTAATCATCAAGGTACAAAGAAATTGAGATATAGTAAAAGGCTTCGTAGCCCTGGTAATAGAAATAAATTCCTTCTGGACAAAAATACTGCTAAACCAGGTGTAGCTGGAAAGAAAAAATTTATGTCATCTTTGGGTGGTTTTCATGAAACTTGTGTTCCTATAGGATCTCATTTCCAAGTGAAAGTCCCGGAATGGACTGGTGTAGCTTCTAAGAGTGACCCTAAATGGTTGGGCACACAAGTATGGCCTGTTAAAGATGACTCAAAACCTACTACTGAAACAGATCTTGTTGGGAGAGGAAGACGGGGAAAGTGTAGCTGCAATGTTCAAGGTTCTGTTGACTGTGTCAGATTTCATATTGCTGGAAACAGGATGAAACTGAAGCATGAATTGGGTTCTCTATTTTACCAATGGGGATTTGATCGAATGGGCGAGGGAGTTTCACTTCAGTGGACAGCTGAAGAAGAAAAGAAATTTAAAGATTCAATGAGGCTAAATATCTCCGCTGAAAACAAGGCTTTTTGGATCGATTTTTGGAACAATACATCTGCAGACTTTCTAATGAAGACAAGAGAAGACTTAGTGAACTACTACTTCAATGTATATCTTATCCAACAAAGAAGCTATCAGAATCGTGTTACTCCAAAGACTGTTGACAGTGATGATGACGAAGTCGAATTTGGATCTTTTGGTGATGGATTTGGGAGAAAAGCTATCAAGCATCGATATATGGAGTTCATTGAGTGCTCAAAGAACACACAATGCTTTGATTTTGAGTAGACAAAATAAGCTGATAATTAAATAAATACATCATATAGCCATGTTGAGGTCGAGAAAATATTTGTTTGGATCAGACTTGTATGCAATTCTCTTTCTGCTATATTCATAATCAGGAACCCATTCCTTCACTAGGAAATTTTTGGTGAACATCAGCCTAGACATAGAGATAGAGGAAAGAATCAGCTTGGAGAGGAGTGGCTAATGTATTGAAACTTGCAAAAGCTTCTGTTTATTTTCCTTTAGGACGGCATTAGTGCCGGAAAACTTTTTTTTTCTTTCTTTTCGACAGCATTTGCGCTTTAAAACTCGTCGTTTAGTCGGAGCAAGTGCTTTCAATTTTATGTTTTTATCTTAGGCATGTGTTTGACTTTGCAATAGAACAGATTTATGTTTGTTATCAATGTGCTCGACCTTGCAGATTATTTATTGTCAACCCCCGTCTGACTTGGATTTTCCTCCCTGCCTCTCACCTTGTAGGTCTATGACCATGAGAAAAAACCCTCACCAGAGTCACTGTAGTTCTATGATGATGAGAAAAAAAAACCCTCACCAGAGTCAACAGTCAGATAAAAGGAAACTTGTAAAGATACCCAATGCTACTCCCCTACCTTCATATCTCACCTCTACTAAAGCAACCAAATGTAGGCAAATATTTTAGTTTGATTGTTGTCATTGATGCGGTCTTTTGTATGAGGTGCTTTTTTTTTTTGGTATATTGTTTTAAGAATTCACCTCAAGAGGTTAAAGAAACGCAAACACTTAGCAATAATGGTTAGCCTGATGATCCAAACATGATTAACTTTGGTCTCAGTATCAATTATAGTTATATTTTGCTCTAATTATTCTTTTAACATTTCTAAAGTATCTTTATAGTTATATTTTGCTCTAATTATTCTTTAAACATTTCTAAAGTATCTTTGACTGTTTAAATTTTTCTTGAATTTCAACACTAATTTATGGTGGATAAATTTGTTTAAGAAATTTGAAATATTCTTTAAGGCTTAAGTTTTATAATGATCGAGTATTTTTTTAATGCACTCTATATCTTATTAGAACATTATGTAAAAATAATTAGATTTTGGAGATGCATCTTCGAACGCACCTTAATACGTTAAATAATTTGAAGATGCATCTCTGTAATATTTTAAAAGTCATACATTATGCATTAACCCTAAAAGGCATTTGACACACATATTGTATCGGAGATGCATCGTGTAACACCCCAAATTTAATCGGAATATTTTAATTTATTTATTTAATTGAGAATATTCGTATTTTTGGTGTTTTCGGTGGTTTTGGAATTATTGAGAAGATGTGCATGTTGGACTATTTATTTAATTAATAGTATACTATATGAGAATATTAGTAGTAGTATTATTCAAATGAATATAAGGGAAATAAGGGTAAATTGGGCATTATGAAGAGTTAGTAAGGGTGTTATGGGAAAAACCCAATTTGTGAGGCCCAAGACTAAGTTAGACAAAATTGAGTTCTGAAAGAAAATCAGATTTCATTTTGTGTTTAACGTGAAAGTTCGTGGCCAGAGCTCTGAAGGAAAGGCTGGAAGCAGAAGATTCCAAAGATTAATCGTGAAAGTTGCGAATCGACTAAGGTATGAGGAGTATCGCATTTCATGATTTTCCATGTATGTCTTTCGGTGTGTTTATGGTTGATTTAAGATTTAAGGTATTTTGGGTTGGTTGTGGGAAAATAAGGAAATTGGTGATAAGGCTTTGAAGTTATGGTTAATGGTATGTAACACTGAATATTGATATGAGAAAGGAAATCTTAGGCCTTTGTGGCCAAAACCTTAGATCGTTATATGTCTGTCCATATGAGATAGAATATTTGATATTTGAAATTACGATGCCGAGAAATAATGATTTTTACCTTCGTGGCCAAAACCTTGGATTGTGATATGTTTGACTCTGTAGGAATAGGAATGTTCATATGTGAGTAACTCTGAAGTACTCAGAGTAATTGCAGAAAATAGTGTTATAGGCGTTGCAAATGTTGTCAGATGAGCTTAATAAACCATAGAAGTTGTGTTGTTATTGCCGTATAACCTTAGGAATGTTTTAGTGATGTTTTGGGTACGTTGAGTGAGTGATTCGTAAGAATAATTGAGTAAAAATCAGTTCCGGAGCGTAACAGCGTCTTTCTGTTCGTCACGACTGTTCATGTTTTTGGTCAAAATTGTTTTGGACGTAACTTTTGATCCGTAAGTCCGTTTTGACCCCGTTCGAAGCGTTGAAAAGCTAATAAACAGAGCTATAACATAGTATAGATAAGGGAATTGTTTTCCCAATATTTTTATATCTAATTATGTTTGAGAAGTCAATTGTGTATATGTTCTGTTAATGAATCATGTTCTGGTTCAAGGATGTCTTGATGTTTTGATGCTGCGATTTTCCTGATGAATTACCATGAGGGTAACTGTGATAATATGATGAATTAACATGAGTAGAACCGTGAAGTTTATGTGATTGATAGGCGATAGTGTGAGGATTACCGTGAGTATAACTTGATAAATTAATATGAGATGATATGAGGGTAGTACTATGAATTAATATGGGATAAAATGACTATGAGCTAATATGTGATTTATACGGGATTATATGATGACATGATGTGTGAGATTAATTAATATGATGGACTATGATGATATGTTGTATGATGAATAATATGATGAATTATGATGGTATGATGTATGATGATTAATGTGATGAAATATGATGATATGTTGTATAATGATGATTACTGTGATGAGATATGATAACATGATGTATGATGATGATTGTTACGATGAGTTATGATAACATGATGTATGATGATGATTGTTACGATGAGCTATGATGACATGATTTATGATGATGAATATGACGATGAGATATGACGCGTAATGATGATGAATATGATGAATGATGATGCACCATATGCTGTTATTATGAGGATTATTGTGAAGTGTGCATCATGCCTTCATGTGCATCCGGACTTCGGTTCAGGACCTCGATTACTTTGACTTCAATCCCACTGTGTGGATGTGAAGTATTTTGATGTGCTCTGATCCTATTGATGGGGATCTATGGAGGGTTGATGGCCTAGTGTCCATCGAGCTATGATGATTGGTACCACATGCATTGAGTCTATGTTGTATTTACATTTATGAGCCTTTGTGTATAATTATGACATTGTGGCCTTTGAGGCATAATTGAAGAATATCAATGTGTTGAATATAACTATGAGTAATATGTCGTTTATGCATTAATTGTTATACATTGATTATTATGAATTGTCTTACTCACCCTGCCTGTTTGAATGTTACCTCCACGTGGGTAACGCGCAGATGAGCAAGTTTAGCCGTGGACGCCGTCGAGGAGTATTGTGACGTTTTAGAGTCGTTAGTCTTATGGTTAATGTAGAGGGTCTTGCTCTGATATGTAACATCGGGTTGGATTCTTTGAGTTGATTGTATATCATTAGGTTATTTTACTGATGTTCCCTTATGAGGAAAACATTGAGTTATGTTTTGAGTTCCGTTGTATATGATGTTTTTATGTATTTTGAGAAAACCCGTGTGTTACGGAGTATTGACCAATTTTGTTGACTTTGAGAAATGTACGCCCTTTGTGGCTTTTTAATGAAAGTTAATATTTTACTCTGAAATCCGTGTTATTTTACCGTAATATTTGTGGGGTAGAATAAGGGTGTTACACATCGTCGGTTATCTTATGGAGATGCATCTTCGTAACATATCAGAATATTGTATGTTATGTTTTGTTTATGTTTATTTAGATGAGGATTTATAATTGTTATGTACCATGTTATGTGACGAGATTTAGATCATATAATCGATATGCAAAAAATGAAGTATGTAAATTCAGATGGTCCAAAAATGAAATAGAAATAAAGTTAAAATACACGATAAAGTAGCATGAACTAAAGATAAAATACAATCCATAATGAATCCAAGTACAATTATTATATACTATTGTGTATGTCAATTATATCTCATCTGCCTTCTCGGCCTCCCCTACCCCTCGTTCTCTAGCGTTGTCTTCGGTACATCAATGTCCCCCGTGCCTCTGTCATGATGGCATCTTGGACATGCCTCACATCAGATCCATCAAGGAAAATATCTTTGTTGATGTCTGTCTATACAATTTCCACTATGCAACGACATATAGGCAATGCATCTTCAACATGATCTAACTATGTTTGCTCCTCCTTTAGTAAATCCTGATTAGCTGACCTGGGTGGATCTCTTGGAGCAGCCTGCACCTTATACGAATGTGACACCCTAAAGAACCACCTGATGTACTCGTTGACGTAGCTCCAGTCGCTCTCAGCTATAGTACTTTGTGCCTCCTCTGGTATTAGATGACTTTTATAATCATCAAACATGGCATCCATCTGTCTACGCGTCAAAGCGGGAGGAGTATAGACAACAAGGTGTTTGAGAATGGTCTGAGTGCATCCGAACTACCGCATCACGCCATCAGGTAGATGAGGAGCAGTGAGACGTGATATACATGCCAATCATCCCAAGTATAGCACTATCTCATCAAATTGTCACGTCTCATGGTGATCCACATAATTATTGAAATGCATGTCCTCGGAAACTAAGCGATCAAGATACACTATGAACGACTTTGTCGCCTAGTTCTCTCTGAGCGGGGCAAATGCGTAACACACAACATATCCTCTGTGCAAGTTAGTACACCTGCCCAAAATTTTGAAATATTTATTTAATTTATTTAAATATGAATATTCGTATTTTTGGTGATTTTCAGTGGTTGGTGTGAATATTGGGAATTATGGAGTTTTGAGTTATTTATTTAAATAATAGTATATAATATGAATATATTTGGTATTATTATTAATTTAAATAAATATAAGTTAATTTAAGGGCAAAGTGGACATTTGAGGAGGAGTTAGTGAGGGTGAAATTTGAAAGCCCATTTTAAAGGTCCAGAGTTAGGTTTAACAAAAAAGAATTT